AGGCTGTGGTCCGTTACTGTGATGCCTAGACCTGGGCATGACATCCAAAGAGCCTATGGCTTTCCTTGCCCCACAGCTAGGAGATCCTGAAGATGTGGGATGCAGCTGACCACAGAGAGCTCACCAGCCTGTGGCAGAAGGTGTGAATTGTGAAGCTGACATCCACTTTAGATCCACTTGTTCCTCACTCCAGCCAGCTCAAGAAAACCAGTCAGGTCAATAATCTTCATACTCAAGGATACTGGTGCTAGAGACAAGATTTGGCAACTTTAAACACGGAAGTTTAATTAAGCCCTTTGTTTCCTTGGCTAGAACTGCCCATTGACACGTGCTGCATCCTGCCATAGTCTGAAGGGTGCAAGACAAACCACAGGGCTGCACGCTGGCCACGGCCAAGATGACTGGAGAACCTCTTGGTGGTAGAGGACACTGAGAAGCTTCCATTTCATTGAACTGCATTATTCTAAGCTTGGCATTACAGCACAAGTGTTCACAGGAGGTATTTCCCAGAGAGAAGACCTTTTGCAGAATATCTGCCTCAGTGCCTTGTAGCTTCGGCTTTAGTCACATGCAGGAGTGAAAGATTTCTGTAATAGATTGAATCCTATAGATAGAGAGGTGGCTGCTGGGTAGGCCACCAGTATTGTCTGGGGGGTCTATACTGCTGGTCCATATTCAACCTCCACAGAGCCACTGACCTTGTAGCTCAGGCCAGAGGTGCCGAAACCAAAGGCACCGGGACCAGCTGCTGACCCATGGCAAAGCATCACTCTGCACCCATTATTCAGTGTCCCTTCCCCGCCTGTTGCACCATAGGTCTTATTTCATAAGGCTCAACTCTTCTGCAGGGTGATCCAAACCAAAGCAGGGCAAAATTATAAAATGCCAGGCAAAAGAATCTTCTAGCAAAGCAGATATCTGCCATGGACCACTTCTTCTTTCCATGGAAGCATCAAAGGCTGGCCTTGAAAAGGCATCCACCCAAATACCCCTCATTCAAAGCATCCTTCTATTTTTATGTCAACACGTCTTCTCCTGTGCAGAACCTATCAGTTCAACAAATGTGAGACATGAACAAAGTCCCACCAAAAAAAATATTGCCTAACCTGATGAGGACAGAACCCTCCCACATTGCAGAAGGAAAGTTAGCTGCCTGTGGGCCACCTACAAAAGCTCTTCTTCAGGAACTCCTGCTGCAGAAAGATGCCAGAGTCACACACAGGGTGCAAGAGGTCCACTTTTATGGGAATCGTCAGTCATAAAAAGGACTGCTCAATCAAAAAGTTGTATCTTAGGAAAGATATCCTAGCACTTATACTTAGAACTGGCTTTGGAAGTTGTCTTCTTTCCTGGATTTTACTCTTTAATAAAGTTTTGTTATTCTGTTCTTTCCTGTTAAGTGTGAGAATTTATAAAATATGCCTCCTTCAACCTACTTCAGCTAATTTTTATCACTGAATTCAATAACCTCAGAATAAGCTCATCCTCTCTTCTCCCTTTTCACCCTAATTAAGATGCTCTTAAGCATCTCCCTTCTCTTTTTCCCTTGGGTGATACCTAATTAGCTCTTGTAATTAAAACTGTACCCGAAGGGCTGGGATTTGCACAGATGTTGGCATTGTTCCAGGCAACACCATGGGGTTACTGCCAGGCTCAGGTTGCTCCTCAGCACTGGGTGGGACACCTGAGGGGCCTTTTATAAGATCCTAGCAAGGAGGTCTTCTGAGATTTTTTTGATCGGGGCCTTGGGGGACTTTTCTGGATGTCTGACCTGTGGTATTTTTAAACTGGTTATCCAGACATGCTGACTTTCAATATTTCCTTCTGTAGTACTCACCAGTGAGTCCAAAGTTTCCCCAAGTGAATGTGAAAAGCCTGCCCTGAAAGATTTTCCATCATTCAGCCTTATCCGGAAATTTTCCTCTGTTCATTGATCTTAGGGCCAGAAAAAAAAAACCAAAACCCAACCCACCCACAAATGGATTAGTTCAAATTTTCTTTCTCCTTGTTTGAATGTCTTGCTTCAAGTCCATTTCTTATGGTCACACCTCCAGCAAATGCGATGCTCCCCTTGTGCTATTACTCTCACAGCTGGCTGGGCCATGAGCTGCCTGAGCAGGGATGCTTTGATCTCTGAGACCAAGGGCTGACTAAGGCCATAGTTCTTCTGTGACTTAAGAAAGGCAAATAAAAGGCTGGGCCCAAGGCTGGCTTAATAGACATTCCAGATGATGGGGAAATCTTTCCTGGGAAATGAATGAATTTCCAACAACCCTCAGCTTCCTCATTCACACCACCTGAAATCAGTCCAAGCAGGACACCGTGGAAATTAGCCCAAACAGGCAAAATTTTCAGGCCTGTTCTGGAACAAGGTTGAGCAGAAGAGGGGAGAATTACACCTTAGATATTGTACACAGGAAATTTGCAGTGTTTCACGATACCTTTTTTCCCTTTTACCTGTAATTCAAGGTCCTTTTTATCATGGACCTTTATCATTAGAGTCATAGAAACTATGACATTGTCATAGAAACATCTGAAGGAATCTGATTTTCACACACTCTAACACCGAGTCACAGGGTGGAGGCTTGGCCGTGGGTGATGCAGCTCAGACAAGAAAGCTGGGCAGTAGGAAAGGATGGGGCTGTAGCTCTCTGGACTACTGTTCCCAGGAAGCCATGGAAAACCATGAAGAAGTGCCATGGTTTCTGGGTATGCAGCAAGCACAGTGCTAGCTATTATGTTAATGTTTCTTTTTTATTCCCTTCTCACAGCTGCACCGTGAGATTCACGGAGTTAACTACACCAGCATAATCTATGGTGTGGTCTTCATGCAAAGAAGACCATCAAATGGATGATGACTTTTTAACTGTACTTAAAACAACAACAACAACAAAAAAGAATTAAAAACAATCAGCAAAACTCAGATCTAAAAGTTAGTGGGTGCAGGAGAGAGTGTATGGTTGCTCTGTCCCTGTGATGCTGACACCCACAGAGCTGCTAAGAGGATTTGAGGCAAAGGACTAAACCACGGGAAAACATTAACAGGATCCCTTGGCACAAGGATTCAAGCTGGTCCCAGCACCCACAGTTCTAAGCACAACAGGGTTGGGATTATTTCACATCTATGTTTCCATAGACATCTAGAAAGGAACAAGGGATTTATTTTAAGTTAAGGTATGTTTAAGTCAGCTAGAGGGATTCACTTTGAACTGAAATTTGCTCAGGACCATTCACAAGACTGCACAGCCTCCCCATTCTCACCCAGCTTTGCTGCCCCACTCACTTTCACAGTGCTTATGGCCATCTGGGTTCCTTTTGCTTCCACCATGACCCAGCCGTCAAAGAAAGAAGAAAAATGCTATTGACTTTCGTCATTATTTATTACAAATTAAATTTTGCAAATTACTGTCTAAAAAAATCAATAGATTTAAATAAATATACAGATTTCAGGATGCTACATATGGCATGTGTGCAATAAGTCACTTAAAGATGAGACATTATACACACAAGGAGATATACATAGGTCTGTACAGCAGTAGTTTTATTTTAAATTACTAGGCTCACATTAAACCATGTGCAAAGTTTCCTCTGGAACAAATCCTTTCAGGATTTTTTTTAGAATGACTCAAACCTTCAGAAGGTCAACTATAAAAAAGTTTCTCTGCAGCTTTGGGGACCAAATGATTAGTTTGCTGTTTCATTTCTGATACAATCAATTGGTCTCATTTTTTCCCCCCTCTAGGGCATAAAGCAAAATCAAGGAAGTATTTTGTACGTCCAATGGGACTACATTTGCAACAGCCACAGATCTTGGTCCACCACCAACTTCAAGCAGCTTTTTAGGTGCTCCTGTGTAATACTGGATTGGGCAGCAAGGGGGACCCAACAGTGGTTCCAGGAGAGCAATTATTTATCTGCACGAACCAGATGACAGCTGCAGCCATGATTTATAATAGAAGTTAATCTGCCCAGGCAAACAAAAGTGCATTTGTGATACAGCTCCAGAGCCTTGACATTGTGTTTGCCTACAAGATTGGTTTCTAGGTCCTGGGCTCAGTGTTTTTTCCAAATTATTCCTTCCCTCCTCTGGGCCAGCAGCACTGTGCTGCTCCAGGCCTGGGGAAGCAGCCATGATTCTGGCTTCTTTAAATCCAAGACTTTCTTCTAAAGCTGTGCAGACAGTGCTGTGCTCTCTTCTCAGTGATCCTTTTCTCCACATCAATCCCACCTGGCTGCCCCTTGCCTAATGCATTCTTAATTCAGGTTACACTTCCCATAGTGACATGCTATCCATATACTGGTCATTTATTATGTGAAGTCCAACTCAGAGACCTGATCTAAGCAAAGCAGCAAGCAAGCCTTAGCGTGCTATTTTCCCACCACCCATCTTCTCTGCCCCTAGCCCTTCCTTTCAGGCAGAGCTGAAAGAAAGCTGGGATATTAGGTTAAGAGCTGGAAGCATGCTACCCTACCAAGGGTATGGCGAAGGAGATGAGACAGATTCACATCACTGAACTCATCCAGATTAGCAGCGTGGCTCTGCCTCAGACCCAGCAGGGCTCCCTCTCCCAGGCTCCATGGGGCTGCATGCACAGGGCTCCTGCAGAATGACAGCTCCACTTCAGCCTCCCCATCCCTGCTGCCGCTGTGCCTGATGGCAGGGGTCATGCTTGGATTTGATGCAAGCTCCGGTGTAAGCAAACTATCCTCCACCTAAAGAAGAGCCACTTAAGGACGGCCCTTCAGTGAATTTCTCAGCCAAAGAATGCCACTGACTACTCAGTTGGCTTTCAGGCTTCTAGATGATATATATTCCTTTAATAAAAATTTGGGAGCTGTTTTACCATGGGAGTCTCATTCGTATGCACATCGCACTGTCTGACAAGTAAAAGAAAAAAGTGCAAAGGTGGGCTCAGGCAGGTCACGCTGGAGGCAGTTTGTCCCCACCAAACCACCTCTGAATGGGGCCACGCCAGAACCATGCTCAAACACGGCTCAAAGGCAGAGCAGACCAGGCCAGCGATATGAGGTCAGTGCTGCCAGGTCCAGAACTGCACAGAGCCATCTGGTTTGTAGGTGATTCAACGGCCCAGAGCGGGCTGACCCTCTGCCTAGGACTCCAGTGCAGAGTTAAGCTAGTACTCTACCAGCAAGACCCTTGCCTGATCCAAAAAGGCACAATTCGGCTCCACGACACATCTATGACTGTATAGAGAGACAGTTTTCCCTTTACAACAGTCTCTGGAGTGCATGCAGTACTGGTTCACGCAACAGGAGCATGGAGACTTCCACTTCTTCCCCCTTCCACTCATGGCCTTTCCTTCAGCTCTAACTACCGACAGCGGAGTTAGTGGCACCCACAGAACTCCAAATTCTTCTGGTGAACTTGGTATGCACTTGTTTCTTATCTCTTCTTCTTCCAGATGTTCTTCTTCCAAGGCAAAACTGTTGGCTGTGCGTTCCTCTGAGAACGATGCTGATGCTTGCTGAACCATAGACTGGAGACAGCAAGATCCCTGTAAACAGAAGAGACACTACATTCATTCTCCAGTCTGTTTGCTTACTACTCAGCAACAGCCCATATTATGATATTTATCTACTCCTCACCAAGTTTTTTTTGAGGCAGAAGACAGGGCAAGGAAAAGGGGTGATTTCTAGCTGCAGCTGTATTAAGCCACAGCAGAGATCCATCTAGCCCCATAGCCCCTTTCCACCAGTGGCAGAGGCTTCAAGGAGTCCTGCAGCAGGGCATGACCCAAGTGACGCTTCCCCAGATCTGCCTTTCAGAAATTGTTCCCATCGCACCTGATTTCACTGCCACCAAGGGACCAGCTCTCCGTCAATTTGCCAGCTCCCTTTAACTCATTTACACTCCTGGAGTCCACGGTTTTTCCAGCAGTGAGTTCCACAACTCACTGATGTGATGTGAGAAAAGCTATTTCCTTTGGTCCAAAGCTGCTGCCCAATCAATCATTTTCCTACATGATGCCATCCCTCCGCCCCTTCTTGTACATCACCCATTTGCCTGTCCCATATCAGAGGAACTTCCCACTCCAATCAAGAATTACATTTTATGTAATATTCCTTTAGTTTTGGAAGGACACAAGCAGCCCTGGTTCCCTCAGCTGTTAGCCTTCAATTCTATGGAGAGCAGAAATAGTCAAGTCTACTCATTTAAAGGGAGACAACAGGGAGAAGCCAGGTCAAATCCAAGTGGCAAACGCAGTCTGGGGTCACAACCGCAGATTTTGAAGCGCTTATGAGGGAAGTTCAGGGCAGGTTTAAGTGGCATGCTCACCTGAGAGCTCTCAGCAGGCCATGATGGGAAGGCCTCACACCACTGCTCTGCGGAGACTTCACTGATGCTCCAGAGCTCACTGGGAGCTTCAGACTCTGGAGGTACCTAATGAGCAAGAGGAGATGCATGAAGCACTCATATCCAGCCATGCTATGGTAAGTACCAGGGGGAGGGTTGCTCTAATGTCACCAGTGACAGACTAAGACAGTTGAATGCAAGCTTTTGAAGGGTTAATTGCAGCTATTTGAGAGCTATTTATAGCTCACTTCTACTTCTATCCTTGCTTTATTCACAGTCTTATTTAATCATTGGGGATTTTAACTATTGCCTTGGTATGAAATTAATGACAGATCTCTACAATGACTTTGCTCCCCACCTCCCCACAGCGTAAGCACTCCTATACCGCTGGCTGAAGCGAGACAACCGAGAACCGACGTGCACTATAAGAAGAGTCGGATACAGAAGTCATTTTACTTCTGAGTCCCAGCTCTCAGCAGCCCTGCTTTCCTGCAGCCTCTCCCACCTGAGCCACGCAGGAGACACTGGTGTCCCAAAGCTTCTCACCCTCCGCGTGTCCCTCTCCCAGCCTGCTGCCAGCTCCTCCCTTCCCACCAGCGCACCCTCAGCCTCCTGGCAGCAGGAGGGATGGAGGTAACATTGCTTCATATCAGCTAGAAAAGGCGCTATTGTACAACAAAAACACCCTAGTGACACTTTGCCAGGGCCTCTTGGGAGGGGTATGAAAGCCACTAGACAAGTTCCAGCTGTTTGCAAAGACCTGAGCGGCCATCCCCAGGGAGGCTGTGGAGTTACTCCAGCTCCTCAGCGTTGTCTATCTGCTTGCACCCCCGCAGAGCAGCCCCCAGGGACATCCCCAGGACCCCCTTGACTTACCCAGGCTTCACCTGGCAGAAGGTGGCACAGCCGTTGTCCCGCGAGTGCGAGCACTCGCACCTGCTGAGCGATCTCTTGCGCCGCCTTGGCGGGCTTCCCAAGCCATAGGGAGCGGTGTGTCTGTAAAAAACAAAAGAAATCAGCTATGCAGCTAACTTTTTATTAGCCAACAAGTTTATAACACAGTCCTGGCAGGCAGCCAAGCCAGTGCCAGGATAATAAAAGACTCATCTATAGACATAAGGTGAAAAGGTCACTGATATGTCTAAGCCTTTAAACTCCAGCTCCTCTCCCACCTACCGTTTTCCCCACCCTACCCCTCCCAGGGAGATTGCCGTGCCAGTAGGTGCTGGGTTGCAAGTGGAATTTTCTCTCCTTGCAGCAGCCCAGACACCTGTGCAAGGGTCGCCACATAGGCTGGGCACGCTGGCAGTTCACCTGGGCAGCGAAGCGCAGGAGGAGTGTGGCTGCCCCAGTCCACCAGCCCCCCCAGCAGCAAGCAGCCGGTTTCTCAAGCACAGAGATGTCAGAGCTTTCCCTTCCCCTGTGGGTTTTAACACACAGGACATAGTACAAATCAAGATGTCTTGGGGCCATAACAGGTTCTTCTGATCACAGCATGCTTTCAGAGCTGTTAGCGAATTCCCGCTCCATCTTTGATCGCAATCTACTCTCCCAGAGGGTTTAGGATTGGCAGTGACTGCAACTATTCTCTGAGCAAGCAGTGAGTTGTAATTGCACGTTAGCAAGCATGATTATAACCACACCTGAGTACATGTGTTTTGCTACAGTGTGATGGCCATTGGTCTGAAAGTGCTGGGAAAGCTGCTGTAGCATTCCTGAGGGCAGGACTTGGCAGCCGCAGGACTTTAGTGCCAGCCCCCCCCGGCTCGTTAACAATACTGGCAGTCAGCAGTCAGGGTTCCAGTTCGCAAGCGGGTAGAGGAAATTTCTTTCTGACTTGCAGCTCTAACACCTTGGTGTTGCTTTCGGCTTGCAGAGGTACAAATCTCAGAAAAAGATGAACCCACGAGGAGGCAGCACCCTGTGCTTTCACCGCCCTCCCCTGTGGGTTATACTGAAACTCCTGAGCAGAAGCACAGCTTGTCCCTTTCTAGATGTTGGAAAGGACTGGACTGGCACTGCTCTCCAAAGCAGGTGCTACAAGAGCCTCACAGCGCTGGGACCCTTTCTCACCTTCCTCTAACCTAACCCCATCCTCAATCAGAAAGTACAGTCACTTACTCATCAACAGAGCCACCCCCACCCCCCGAAAACTACGTTCGTGCTTACCCAGGTGTGTTGACCCAGATGATATCCAGGTGACAGAAGTAAATGCATTCCTTATCCAGCCAGCTGTTGCAGGAACATCGCTTGGTCCTCGGGTGCTCCACGCTGGCTGCGGCCAGGTGGGACTCCAGCGGAGGATGGCCCATACCTGCGGCAGAAGGAGGAAGGGATGAGTTGCAGGCTCAGTGCAGGGCGCTGGGGTGCCCGTCGGTATGTCACCTCTGCAACTACACCGCCAGTAAGGGTGACGGTGATTTCAGTATGCAGGCAGTTTTATAGGAGGTGCAGCTTTGCCAGCTGCAAGGCTGGAGGCTCATAAATGCCTCACATAACCCCGGCAGCTGCAGAGGCTACCCCTGGAGCAAGGGCACGGCGAAGCCACCCCGCAGCAGACCCCGGGCACCCTCCGGCACCCCACGCAGCCCCGCTCCCTCAGCCGAGGGGGTGCGGAGGGGTCCCCCTGCCAGAGCAGCCCCCCCCGGGGCACCGAGCCCCCCTCCAGCCCGGGGCTCACCATCTTCCAGGAGGGTGCAGAGGGCAAGCGCCAGCAGCACGGCGTGGCTGGGCATGGCCGCGGGTCTCGCAGGCGTGGGGCTGGGCTGGCTGCAGAGAGTTGGAGCCTTGTGGGGCTGGGCTGGGTTTTTTTCCTCCTTTTCCCCCACGTCCCGGCTCTCCCACTGCTTCTCCGTGCGGTGCTTTAACGGGAGCCGCCGCGATGCGTCTGGAG